TTCGATGCGAGAAAAACTATGGCAGGTAACAAAAGCTGAGATTTAGATACCAGCTGATCTTTTATCCCTCCCTCATCAGCAAAGAATTTTTCTTTTAAACCGGTCAATAGTCTATCAGTAACGCGGCTGTGATTTGTTCAGGGAAAAGAAATCGCTGCTCTTTTTTCCCGCTAATTTCTTCTTCTACCACACAATGTATTTCTGATTGATAAGTGGATATCAGATGATCGAATCATTTGGAGTTGAACATACTTTTTTTCAGATTTGATTCAAGTTTTGCAGCAGGAAGCTGTGACCAATATGATGCATATTTAACCTAATTTTATTTTAGCGAATCTCTACGGCTGCTGGAGATGGAAGACATCACTGTTATCCACATTTTACATGTGCTGTTGACACGGAAAACATTCGGCGGGTGTTCAACGATTGTCGTGATATTATCCAGCGCATTCATCTTCGGCAGTACGAGCTTTTGTAGTTGTCTGCTCGCTACTGCGTGTCATCGCCGTTTCTCACGCAATCTGTATGTGTTATGTGCTGAGTTATCCCTTAACGCTGTTGCTCACCTGTTACTTTCTTGCCGTTGGCGCGAGCCGCTTGGCAAACTGCCAAAGCCTCCATACTTTTCTATTTTCACCCCCGACAAGTATTCACCCTGCTTCAGTGTTGCGCTATTCCATTCTAGCCATCGATGACGATGACGTCGTTAATCTAGTCCTTCTAAGTTTTCTTATGATATTCTTTCTAGACTTGAGAGTATGTTTGTCAAATGCTTAAAAGCGCTTATTAGTACGGCGGCATCTGAATTTTTGCGACGATATCATGCCTTGATGCATTTCATTAGCGCCATTTCATACAGTCGCACCACTTTCAGCAAATCAGGTCTATTGCATTTTTCTACTGAGCATTTAAACTAATTTTTAAAAATTATTACCGACCTGCAATTCAGGACAGTGGGTGCGATTGCATTCAATGACGTTGTTCCTTTTATAGTTGTAGAACTGTGGCGCATCTGTTTTATGGTGCACTGTATAAGAGCACAGCTCAAGCTAGATGTGGTGTGCATCCGTCATCTATGCCGCCATTTCCCCTTTCGCTCTTACCACTTTTCCATCTTCGCATCCCGCTCCTCCTCTATACGTCCGCCTCTGAGTAAGTTAAGAAATTTGGCAATCAATAATTGGTCGTGTTCTCCTGCCTGCACTTTGCCGTGTGGATCCATTGGCTAATCACGACTGAATATATGAAGCGGTATCCTGCATTGCTATCAAGTTATAACTCATATAACACTGTCGAACTTTTCACCTGGCGGAGACGTTGAGCGGTAGTGAGTATACGTCACATCTCTAACGTATGAGCACCTGTTCGATAATCTCAATAAATGCGCTTATCGGTGCGTGTGCGTCAGGGCCGTAGAGTGGGAAATACGGCGGTGCTTGTTCTCATACTTTTAATTTCCTTAGCGCAAAGGAAACAGGTCGCTAGCGCCAATTACGTCCATTATTTGTTTTCATCCGTTTATATTTGATACTAGCGGGATGTTATTTTATTAACTTGCCTATGTTCATTTTGTTATGTATAATAACACCGTCTGTGCAACAGTTTCCCCGTTTCTTTGCTTTTAGCTGCTCTCATAATGCATGCTTTAACATGTACATCAACCTTAAGTCAGTAATTGCTTTACTATTTATTGTTTTAAAAACGATGCCACTAAGTCATTTTTTACTAGACGTCATCTCACAACCTTGATTCTTCTAATTCTAGCTCTCAACAAGCCTGAACTACTTTCATGATCTTTAGAAGCACGAATAATCATGAGGGGACATCAGGTGTTTCTTTTTATTACACGCAGATTGTTATAGTTTTATATTTTATAATTAGGCCTCCGGTGTCGCACCATGGGCACTGTATACTCACAATTGTCACTGCAACGTGTAAAAAAATTCTCCGAATAAAAGTCAATATTCTCTTCTGTACACAACGCATATCTCCAAAATTCTTTAATTTAGCCCAGGATACGCAGTAATTAAATGAGTTTCGCTATTGCCTACAATCAGCCAAACGTAGTCTTTTTTTTCTGAGAAAAGAACGGAAAAGGGAGAAATTCCCGTGTTGGACGGCGTTTACCAACACAATTTTTTTCCAAACTGAAATATGTGAATCCAACTCAACTGCTCAACTTCATAAATCATGCTTATTTTATGGGGAATGTTTGCGTGCGCTAAAAAGTGACCAGAAGTTCGATCGATGATCTTATTCATGACCCTAAAGGCATTAAACTTTCCCATAGACTGGCGAACAGGCTCCGCCTCAGGTTCTGTAGTTCAATCAGCTGCAAGAAAAAGTCTTTAACAATTGCGGTTGTTCTAAGATACAACCCAAAACAATGATTTTGTGATCGGCGACATCGTAATGACGGGGCAAAGCACATTACAGAAAATGGAACTGTCAATTGTTCAGCAAAATAAATCAAGAGCAAAGCTTCTTTAGAAAACACGTCAACTCTTATAACGTCTATATGAGAAGGTTAACTTTATCTTTAAAAAATAAGCTACATTGCTCCCTTATGGTCTGTACAAATAGCAGTAATCTTCCTCAACGTATAGTTTGAGCAAATTGAGATCGCACCAGTGATATAAAACGTTATTAAATTATGAAATTACACCTTGCAACTAGTACTAAATTTCATCAGCACTCTGACTGGCTCCTCAAAATCTTCTTGATGCGTTCGTCGGAATCCTTGCTCAACTGAGCATAATATGCCTTAATAAATTTTACAGCATGTCATATTTAAAAAAAGGTAATCAAGAAATTAAGAGTAGAACTTGTCTCAAAATCATAAGACCTAATTTCAGCGAGCAACGAGGTGATTATTGCCTGCTACATAGGAGCTTTCATAGAAGTACTCATTATCTTCATGAAGTGCAAAGCTTAGCAGAATTTTGAGTAAACCTTGTCAATTAAAAATGAACAGGCCTACCGAACATTCCGCACTTGTCAGCTCATCCAAGATTCGACGTGAAAAAGTTTGTTCGGTTCCAAACTTGAAGAAGAGATCCTTTATACGAGAGTAGATAAACATTCTGTAGGGCAGTTTTGCAATAGCTGACATACAGGCGGGAACCACTTGTAATAAGAAGTCGCGATTGAAAGAGCCTTTCACCATCTGAAAATAATTGGTTATAGAACTGGTGCGTGGAAAAACCATGGGAGCAAACAGATTCAAACATCGAAACCATTTGGAATCCGAGAGAAAAGTCTGACTGATTTTTGCATAAAGCGAAACTCAGATACTAATCAAAGCAAACAGCTTTCTTAAATGTGAGCAAAGCTAAGGGAGGCGTGCGGGATCACGTTGATGGTGTGGAGGGAATGAGCGGGAAGAGAAAATTTGTGGAAAAGATTTTTATTTGAAGCATAATCTACTCTTTGTATGCCTTCCTTCCCTTGGCTGACTTTCTGGAGAATAATGTTGTGATGTTAAGGCATCTGCAAGGGAGATCCACGGTAACACCTTTAACTGCTGAGCATTAACGTCATCTAACTGTACTTAGTGGAACCACGGATTAGGGAGACTGTGCGGAGCAACTGTTACGATCAATGGAGGTTTCACGAAAATGAATACGATACTGATTATTAGCGGGAGACTATTTTTCTGAGTGCGGTTTGCTCTCAGATAGAGTAGCCACCAACTGTAAAGAAATGCCCCAGTTTGAAATTAATCAAGGATGCAAGATCGTACAATGTGCGCTTGCAAAGAACACTAATCGCACAATTGCTTCTCCCCTTTTCACCTCACTCTAAAGCGAGGTCTAATGGTGGAGTGCTTTTTGTGTTCAGTGTATCAGACTTTGAAGAAAGCTTCAGCAAAAAACTAATTATGACATTATTGGATGAGGTATTTCACCGTAGTAACCTCTTCCTGATTCGATGCTGTCTTTATGTGCTGAGTTTTCAATATTCATTAAAAACTTACACCTGAGACAATAGCTTGAGTAATTATAACGAATGACGTGCGGTTGAGCCCAGTGCGAGGTGCTTCTTCCTCTGCAATCTTTAACAGGATTGAACCTATTTGATGTAGAACTTCACAGCATACGCGAATCACGCGTTCCTTAAAAAAATTTACTATAGGTGGTTTAGATCTCTTACGAACACCTACAGTTTTACATTTTGACAAAAGATGCACATTTCCGCGTGGCCGCAACTGTTTCATAGAATCGATGCCGCAGGCCGTTATCGATTTTATAAAATAGCTATGTTAAATTACCTGCACTTCTTCATCCTGACTTTTCAAAAGTGCTGCAACTTGGTAGGCTAACGAAGGCGGTATAGTATCTTCAACAAGTGTACGAACACCACTGGATATGGTATTGGTGCCCAGCACCTGAAAATTTGACATTATCCTCGAGTCGAAAACAATTCGAAAATTGCTATTCACATGTTACCTCAAAAAATCGATTGACAAAAACTTCGGAATTACCAGGCGATAATTCTAGTGCTGCGTGCTGATCTATTTTGCCTAATATTTTCATGATATGGTCCCAGATCATGGACGTAAAGGCTTTTGTATCCAATTCTAAAAATTCTATTACGAATCTATCAGGGCATAAAGAGCAAAGTAGAACTTCCTTTTGCGAACATGTTACTGATTCCGCATAAAAAATGTTCAAAAGTTATTTGAACATTATAATTAGAGAGTGCTTTCCCTTTCTTACAAAGAAGTTTAGAAGAACCTGTGCAACATATAATTTCTACATGAATTTTGGTTATTCGCAATTGGCTCAATATTCACGTAGTTTCACTTTTCACTCCCGTGGTTTTCACCAAACGAATGTTCGCACCTCTGGACGTAGAGTAGGCCAAGACGGCATATATCCATAATGGTAACATCTTGCAGATGACGGGCATTTGCTGCCCCTCGATACGCGACAGAATTCCATTGCAGAAAGAAAATAGAAAATCAGCATCAGGGCGTGCACTGCGAAAAGAAAAGCTTCTTTAGCCAAATTCTCTTTATTGCATGTTGTTTACTCTCATTTACAATAAGTACACACATGTAATTATTTTTTATGCCTGTTCCACGGCTATAAAAGGATGAATCAAATTGGAACTCACCAACTCAGTTTTTCTACACACCACTTGAATCGAGATGAGGACAGTAACGATTTAGTTCGCATGCCTGCAGCCAGCTGTAAATAAATCAAGGCAAAAGAAAGTTTTGTAATGTTTGAAAAAAACAATTTTGTTAGCAAATTCTGCTATCTTGTCTCCAAGAAAAACCTTTTTTAGTCTTTAATGTATAACAGAACTTGCGACTGAAAAAATTACACTTTATTTTATAGCTTTCAGTGATTTCCGACTATAAATCTTAAAAATCGGATATCATCCATTGTATTAGTGCGCTATAACTTCTTCCAGGAATACTTCTAGAATGTCTAGAGGTAAAGAACTTTGGCGCTACTCTTCTCCGCAGAAGCAAAATTTGAAATCTGACTGCTTTGATTACTTATGGTATGACCTATCGCAACTCAGCCTCCCCATGAAGAAGCACATTACATACCTCTGGATAATTAGTTATGAAGTTTAGGACAGTCTAACCTGATTCACAACAAATTCACCCAGCCTTGTATCCGACGACCTGGACATAAGAAGTTTTACTGCTTCATCCCAAATTGAACCGCTGATTTCTACATCAGCATCTGCGAGACGGTACAGAAGACCAAGCAGCTCGTGTTCAGATGCGGTGGAGATGAAGTGGTCAATGTTGACTTTGCCAAAATCAGCTGGATAAGTTCGAGCCACAACAGCGCATCTTCTCGCAAAAATAACACATTTATCAGGTAATGGCAACGCATTCAAGCCTAAATCAAAAATTCCCTGTAGCTCTCTCGGTTAGCC